ATGTCCTTTTAAGGTGTGTGGATACCTTAAGGCTAATAATTCTTGGAAACTTAATGTGGCTTCTGGTATACATAATCATGACTTGTGTCACAAGTTATCCGATAATCCCATTATACGTCTCCTTAATTACGAGGATAATGGACTTGTTTCTAACATGACAATGAATATGGTGTTGTCCAAAAACATACTTGCAACTTTGAAACAGAAAAGACATCAAAATGTCATAAATGTCAAGCAAATATAAAATGTTTGTGTCATAAACAACAAGGCAGTAAAAGTACTAATAATTGAAATGCAATAATTATTGAAGATTCTGGATGATGGTTACTATGTTTCTAGGTACAAAGTATGTGAGGATGTAGTCACCTGACTCGTCCTGATTCTATTAATTTGTTCAACACATTTTCCACCGCACTCATAATTGATTTAACATACAAGACCAACAAGTATAGACTTTCACTTATGGAAATTGTTGGTGTTACTTTGTCAAAGATGATTTTTCAGTGAGTTTTGCATTTTTGGAAAGCGAAAATAGGACAATGTTACACGTGTTATGAAAGTGCGCGATATTATATTGAATGACAAATACAATATTCCAAAGTTCATTGTAACTGATCGTGATACCACATTGATGAATTCGGTTACAAAGGTGTTTCTTACATCCTATACATTACTTTGTATGTATCACATAACCAAAAATATGAGAAGCATACTTAAACCCGCGACATGGACCAAAGAAGTCAAGGGTGAAGATGAGAAAGTGGTCAAATATAGTGTGGTATTGGGAAATATATTTGATGCTTGGAATTATATAATAAATTCTTCCACGAAAGATTTATATGTAGAATCTTTAATACAATTCAGAAGGGTGTACGAGATATCTAGATTTCCTGAAATATGTTAAGAGTACGATTCTGGACCAGGTGAAGGAAAATATTGTATGTGCTTGGATCAATCAAGTTAATCAATTTGGTAATACATTAACTAAGAGAATTGAATATGCATATGTTACACTAAAGAATTGGTTGAGAAACAATAAAGGTGATTTTTTTAGAGGTTGGAACTCTGTGAACCAAATGATCAAAAATCAACATAATAAGATATAAACATCTTTTGGTCAAACAATTACTGTATTAAAACATTGATTCAAAGACAACATTCTTTATATATTCATAGTTGGTTGACAATATATCTCGGGTGGGAATGAATTTTATTTATCACGAAGCCAATGGAGCAGAGAAAATAGTGTTGATAGTTCTAAGTGTGAATGTAGACATAGGAAGACATATGATCTTCCATGTGCTTGTTTAATTGCAAAGAAAATGAATTTTATTAGACCAATACATATGGATGATACTTACACTCACTAGAAAAGGCTATGGTTTGATGATGATGATGGTGTGATGAAAGAGGATAAACAAGATATATTTATATGACCAAATGGAAAATGATCCAGTTGAGATTCATGAAATTTGATGACAACACGAAGTTGCACATAAAAGAATATTTGAGGAAGATTTCCTATCCAAAAACCACAAATTTGAAACTACCCCTAAATTCGGTTAAAATAAAGGGTGCCCCTAAAAAGGTCAAACCGACACAGAGTGACAATTCTACGAAGCGGGCTACTTCTTACTTTGAACTTGTCAACTCACATTTTTCAGATTCTCCAACTCCTAATTCTAAAAAAAAGTGTTTATATGGGTGCTCTCATTAGCAAACCATTTCCCTCACCACCGCTATCGAAAATCATCCACATTAAAGAGATGTCGCTTTTATGCATAAATACATTGAGTGAATTATAGATGTTAAAAGGTGATGGTAACTGCAATTATCGAGCTATTTCGGCTTTGCTCGGTAAAGGAGAGGAGAATCACAAATTTGTCCTCCAACAACTTCTCAAAGAGTTTAATGCGCATAAGGAATCATACACACCGCTACACAGGAAAAACAATATTTTGATGCAATTCATGACTCTATTATTCCTTGTGCTTGCGATCTGACATTAGTGGAAAAATGGACACGGTTCCCTGAAACGGGTTATCTTATAGGAAAATACATATAATATGGTGTGTATTGATTTAACAAGATATGGTTTCTCGGAAACATTTTTCCTACTTCGGAGTAGCCCACCGTAAAATTCGTTCGGTTGCCTCATGTGTATTGGGTGGCTTTTGAAATCACTATATTTTGTTCAAGTTTATTTGAAACATGAGTATCGTATATCAAAGACATCACCGAAGTGGACAACACAATCTACAAAAGAGGCTGAAACTTAGTCGAATCACTATCTGGAAAGGATTGAAGAGTTTGTCAAGTTGAACGAGATTGAAAGGGAGTCAAAAAAGGAAAAATCAAAGACAACACCACTCGTAGAAATAGGTTGAGGTGGTGACATATATTTTGATACTTTTTAGTTTTTATCTAACTATATATTTATGTGAGACTCTTGTTTATGTATTATTATCAACAATGTGTGTGTGTGTGTGTGTCTCACTATATATATATATAATAACAATTGGGATCAATTTTAATTTTTTTCCTTCCATTTTAAACAATTAACAATGCCTATGTGGCACGCTTCTAAATAAGCACTTCCAGGCTAATTCCATTTTAATTGCAAAAAAATACGAATCAGTGGGTAATTCAAAAATGCATCTCCGTAGAAACTTTTATTTTGAAAAAAAATATGATGAGTTTTAAAATGCATATTCAGAATCTCCTCTGAGTCAGGATAAAATTTCTAATGTCTATAATGATCTAAGACTTGTATAAATATGGGGTCTCTTGTCTCACATTATCTACAACACCACACCACACCAGAATGAATACGTATTGAAGAGATATTACATTTGTATATTTCAATGACACAAAGTCTCCACTTTAACTTAGGACCACTGAGGACACACATATGGTCGATATGAAATCCAAACAGAATAATATTCTACGATATCTAAACAATTGAAGAGTTGTCAAGTTCGAGCATCGTTCACCATTGATTGATGATGATGGGAAGATTCAATTCAAAAAGTTTGAGCTGAAGACAAATGAAAACTTGAGTTATGTGGAGTATGTTTTACCGTTACAAAAGAATTGGTTTGATTAAAGTGGAATCGACAATTGAATGATCAATCAGATATTCTAAAGATGTTGAAACGTCAAAAACCATATGTTCATAATGAAATATAATATTAAATTTATGTTAACGAGTATCTTTATAATATTAAGTATTTTGATGTTAATTTATGAGGTTCTTCTAAAATTTATGCAATTGTTTTTGGTTTGACAAAACAGGGTCTATTCCAGAGATACATCTCCGTAAAATTCACTCATCTGACATCAGGGTTATTACAAAGATGCACTTACGAAATCATCCCAACATGATTACAGAGGTGCATCTCCAGAATAATTTTAAACAAAATTAAAGTGTTTCACTTACGAAATGCTGAGGTGTATGTATTATACATATGTTTTGAGATTTATATTCAAAACTGATGAACATTTTTTATTTTTCATTAGGGTGCGCTAGCAACCCATGGGGTGTACAAAGTAGCCACCTTAAAATTAGAGGAGTCCAATATAATTTCAATGTTTTTTTAAGTGTATATATATATATATATATATATATATATATATATATATATATATATATATATATATATATATATATATATATATATATATATATATATATATATATATATATATATATATTTCTTCAAAAGTATGTAAATATTATTAAAAGTTTCTTGAAATAAATGAGTTCAAAATTTGTTTCTCTAACCTATCTTTTTTGTTGTTTTATATTTATTAAAAAATCACATTTAATTCATTTCATGCTTAATAGTTTTGAAATTTTGTAATAAAATAATATTTTAATAATACATAAAAATATATTTACAGATAAAATAATTTTTTTTTATAAAGAAAGCTTAAAGGCCCCTATAAAAGAAAAAAAAAAACTCTAATGAGAAAAGAGTTTAAGAAAATTCGAATGTTTGATTAACCTATTAACTTATTTGAAAAGTTTTTGAATATTTGTAAATAAGCAATTCAACTAATATTTAAATATATTAAAAAATCAAAAATATATTGAAACTAAATATTTATTTACATAAAAAAATATTTACAGATAAAATATATATTTTTATAAAGAAAGCTTAAAGGCCCCTATAAAAAAAACTCTAATGAAAAAAGAGTTTAAGAAAATTCGAATGTTTAATTAACCTATTAGCTTATTTGAAAATCCTATATTATTTGAGCATATATAAATAAATAATTTAATTAATATTTAAATATACTAAAAAATCAAAAGTACAATGAAACTAAATGTTTGTTTACATATATTTATTTGAGTTTACATAGAAGTATAATTTATAACATTATTTATAATTTTTTTTAAACTTATTTTTATAAGTTTTTTTGGATAACTGAACTGTATTTTTATATTTTAATATAAAATAAAAAATAATATATTTATTTATATTATTAAAATAGAACAGACTAATAAATTTAAAAATTTTCTTTTATGGTCTATGATTGATTTATTTAACTAAATAGACTGATAAAATAAAATTTTATAATACACCCTATAATGTTGAGTCAGAGGTATGTGATTTGTTCAAGTATTATTTTCACTAAAAATTAAATTCAGTATTTCTAATCTAAATTGCTTAGCAGAATCTAAATTGTTTAGCAGAAGCTCGTTTATTAGTCTAATCCAAGCGCAATTTTGTATGAAATGAAAAATCAAATTTATTAATTTTATATATGGACAGTATAATGTTTTCATTTTATTTTTATTTAAGAAAGTTATTATATTAAAAAATAAGAACTAATAACTCTTTCCTTAAATGGTTCAAAATCGTCATAACTTTATTCTTCTTTTCTAAACTTTCCATGGCTTCTCGAACCTCATTCGAGTCTTATACTTAAAGCTACATACAATTCAAAACCCCGAAACACACTCAATTTTTCAAAACCCTAGCACCCCACTACCAATGGCGACGAGAAAATCCGCACCGCACCTTCTCAAACAACTCCGCGCCTCTCGCCACCACCTCACCCAAACCCGCTCCGTCACCTACATGCCCCGACCCGGAGACGGCACACCTCGCGGCGTAACACTCATCCCCGGCGACGGAATCGGACCACTCGTAACCGGCGCGGTGGAGCAAGTAATGGAGGCCATGCATGCGCCGGTGTACTTCGAGAAGTTCGAAGTGCGCGGTGACATGAAAGCGGTGCCAGCTGAAGTGTTGGAATCGATTAAGAAGAATAAGGTTTGTTTGAAAGGTGGACTTGCGACACCTATGGGAGGTGGAGTTAGTTCGCTGAATGTGCAGTTGAGGAAGGAGCTTGATCTTTACGCTTCGCTTGTTAACTGTTTCAATCTACCTGGGTTAACTACGCGGCATGATAATGTTGATATTGTTGTTATTAGGGAGAATACAGAGGGTGAATACGCTGGCCTTGAACATGAGGTCGTTCCCGGTGTTGTTGAAAGCCTCAAGGTATTTTCCCTAACATTTATTTGTGAGAAAATTGTTATTTTGATCCTGAATGTGTTTCGTGTTGTTTGTCACTGTAATCTTTGAATATGTTACATTATTACAAAAACATTCCATTGTGTGTTGTGTGTTAGTAATTTGTAGAGTTTATGGTTTTTGAGTACTCAGGCATTGACTAGGTTTGAAATTTGAATTGATCTGTGATTAGGTAGCATTGCTGAAATGAGTATTTACTAGTTTGTAAGTATTGACTTGAAATATTTGATCTATTCAACTCACACAAAAAGAAGGATTTCTGGATTTTAGATGAAATGGAAAGCAGTGAGAAGTAACTTGCTTGGGGTTTATGGTGAAGATTCATGATGATTTACTTGTAAGTTATGCAGAGTAGATAACTCAGAATTTACTTGGGATGTGACAAATTTTTAGACATGTTTTGCGTCGAAAACCCATTGTCAACTTCTTATCTATAAAATAGTTAGAAGGTTTTGGAGAGTTGGTCACGTGGTTTTGAAAGGGTTCGGGATGTAAGTGTGGCATATTTGGCCCTCAAAAGCAGTGATAGAGGATGCTATTTGGTAATTAAATGGGTTCATTTTACTTATGTTTCTAAGTCCTTAGAAACTGGTAGTGTTTCAATCTAATACATTCATATTTACAGAAGTTGCATACTCATCCGCGGAACACTTGTTGGAATGCCAAGGAACACTTGTTGGAATGCCAACTGATAGAAAGTAGTAGTGCATAGTAGTTAAATTAATTAAAAATATTTTAAAAAAAATTATATATATTTCTTTTGTATGCATTGTGTACTTGCTGCCCTACTTTGATGTCCTTTGAAGGTTGTTGATTGTAATCATGCTTAAATAATTTCCCGTTTTCTAGAGGTTATCCTTTTGATGGAGAAGTTATGTTCCTTTGTAACCGATAGACTTTTCTTGTATTCTTTAAATGTTATGTATTTCATGATGTTAGCACCTTCACGTTGTGATTTGTGAGTTTTTTGTTTGCACCTCATGCTAAACCTTTGCTAGGTAATAACAAAGTTCTGTTCAGAGCGCATTGCTAAATATGCTTTCGAGTACGCTTATCTAAATAACAGAAAGAAGGTGACTGCTGTGCACAAAGCAAACATTATGAAACTCGCAGATGGTTTATTCTTGGAATCTTGTCGAGAGGTTGCCACAAAGTATCCTGGAATCAAGTATAATGAAATTATTGTAGATAATTGTTGCATGCAGCTTGTTTCAAAGCCTGAGCAGTTTGATGTCATGGTATGTATATTTTTGGCCTTGATTCCCAATTATTTAATAACTTTTGGTTGCTATGTTTACAAGTCCAGCGCATGTTTAAATGTATTTTTTAAATGAAAAACAGTGCTATTAGTTAATTGGTGATATAGTATACAAAACTCTTTAATTAAACTGTGGCCAATTTGTCTATTTGTAGTTTCTTTTATTTTTCTTTGGGGAACTAGTCCCACGGTGACATGGGTTTTGCCTTTTGCTTAATTTGATAAAAGTTGCCATGGAAATCATTGGATAAATGAGCTGAATAACCAGAGATAAGATATTTTTTTAGTAATTTTCCCCTTTTTACAAGGTTTTCAATTGTGGGTTCAATCAAACGATGTCATTATAAAACATATTAATAAGAGTGGAGCTAGCTGTTTCTTTTTCTCTGGGGATAGAAGCAAACATATACTAAAGGAAAGGTATTTATCAAATATTGTAAAGATTCATTCACTATACTCGGTCTCGAACATAATAAACAACAAAAAATATATCTTCAGGCATCTAAAACATAAGCAGATTTAACTACTTCAACCATATTTAATGTTAATATTCTTAAATTAGCCTTCAATTAATTTAGATTTCATTTTCCAATCACCCTTTTATTCTCATGGAACAAGTTCTTATGAGGGGTAATTTTGAAAGTTTGATTACTTTTTTAGATTATTGAAAAAATTAATGAGATTAACTGCCTTTCTTAAGAAATGTGAAAGAAGTTTTTTTTCATCTTTTATTAATATATAATACTTTTATATCAGATTATATTTAAAGAAACAAAAATAGAGATCATATTATAGCCATTTCTTGGAGTGAAATCTTATCCATAATAACTATATACTAAAAGGATTGTCGGTGTCTTTCCGGCTGGGAAAAACTAGTATTTTTGCAAGAAAATCAACATATGTTTTGTCTGACTAAAAAAATTTGAATTGCTTAAAATGCTCTCTCTGTAGTTGCTGTAGGGAAAGAGATTATTAGACTCAAACAAGACAAAACAGTCTATCACTTAAGTATTTTATTTTACCTTTCTGTTTCTGCTAATTTGAGTAGTTTCTGGAACAATTTAAAATGTTGAAATATCTTGAAAGCTTTGAGGGTAAAGATGCCAAGCAATTGTTGTTTTAGTTGTAATATCAGATGAAGTCTATTCTTAATGAAATCATATAACAAAAAACCCTGCTAACCTACAATTATTTTCAGCATAATAATTGTCATTTTAGCCTTGGATATTCAATCCATATATAACAAGCCACCCCATAAAATAAAAATAAAAATATTGAGCCGAAAGAAATTAACTGCATTTTAGTAGGACATGACCTTGGAAACAGTGATGGCATCCTAAACTTTTTAACGTAGATTCCCTAGTTTAATCTATTTATATGAAAGGATTAATATGATAAAGTAGTCATTAACTTTTGTGATTTGAAATGATGGATGTTTTATTTAATCTTTGGTTAAAATTTAATTGGAGGAGGGTTTGAAATAGCCATATTGTGCTAGTTGGAAAGAAATATATACTTAATTAATAGCTATCTCATTATCCCTCAGGGAAGTGTAACCAATGGCTTCACAATAATGAATACTAAAGGGACACATATTCTGCCTTTTTCTATTGATGCCACTATGAAAGTAAAAAACATTGAAGGAAATTGCTGATTAATATGATATTTCTTTCTTGCAAGTTACTCGTTTTTTCCCAGTCAATTTGCTTTTGGTTTTAAATTCAAAGAGAGGTATCGAAGGTAACGAACACTATTTCCACTTACAGGTAACCCCCAATCTTTATGGAAATCTTGTTGCAAATACCGCGGCAGGCATTGCTGGTGGAACTGGTGTCATGCCGGGAGGTATGTATAACTATCACTGATGTCTTGAAACTCCAGAGCTCATTTGATAATATTATGTCATTTTTCTTATCGAGCGGTACTTTGCTTCCATATAGTCATTGTTGTTGTGAAATGTGTGAGGGTGACTACTGCTCAGAACTGTTGAGTCTATATTTAGAGTGTATTAATCATATTGGACTAGTTCGTTCAAACTTTTATTCCAGGAAAAAAAAGTGTCAGTTCTTTGAAAACTCTGCCTAAATATACTGATCGATTAAATTAGAGATTGTATATTCACTGAAAAGAAAATATAGGTGGTACAGAAATCAAACTGGAAATTCATTTATCTTCCTCAACAGGTTGCAGTATGGAGGTAACATCAGTAATTGTGGGGTAATGAAGTTGTCAACTGGTAGTAGCCATGTAAGTAAGAGCAGAGAAGTCGTAAAAGTGACCTTTTACTCTACTAGTGAACAATTCACTTTAGATGATAAAGTAAGATATTTCAACAATTAATGAAAAATGAAGATTCAATATTTTATGCATGTATAGTAAATCATGAACCAACTACTTATTTTCTAATCAATGGTTGAGGTCATGTTGTACTCTCTAGAAAGAAAATTCACTTAAGAAGAGTCAAATCTAGTAAACGGAGATGGGTTGGAACTTCTAGAGGTGGCAGTGTTGTTGGCAGGATGGAGGGTTTTAATGAAAATATCAGATAGGGCCTTTGTGTTGAACCCAGGGATGGAATTTGTGGAAGGGTGTTTAAATAGAAGTGATTATTGATTAAAAATCCACTTTATCGTTAAGCTTGAATATCTCAAATCATGGATGAAATGTCTTTGCAGGTAATGTTGGTGCTGACCATGCTATATTTGAACAAGGTGCTTCAGCAGGAAATGTTGGTAAAGAAAAAGTAGTACAACAAAAGAAAGCCAACCCTGTGGCACTCCTCCTTTCATCGGCAATGATGCTTAGGCATCTTCGATTTCCTGCATTTGCTGACCGATTGGAAGCTGCTGTGAAGCGAGTCATTTTAGAGGGAAAACACAGGACCAAGGACCTTGGAGGTACAAGCACTACTCAAGAAATTGTTGATGCAGTGATAGATGCATTAAACTAATTACATATTCATATTAATTTGCACATTTACCATATGAAGTTAGCTCGCCAATTGTCCATAATCTTTTTGCACCCTTTGAAGGTGAATCGGCAATTTTCGGCCATGATTAATGTTCATTCAATTCATAAATTGATGTGAAGAGAATTTTGAAAAGAGCAGTCTGTTCTGCCAAGAATCGGCAATTACTTTATGTAAAAATTGAGTTTATTGCCTCAATAATGCAGTCTATGGGGTTTTCTCAGCTATAGTTAGAATCAGTTACAAGCTTTGTATGCAACCTTGTAACTATGTTTCCTTACATTAGAATCAAACATTTTTTGCACTCCCAAACTTTTCTTAGAGAAACAGAAGCCAAATTAATTCTAACATTCAACACTACTCATAATACATAGATTATACATGCCTTTAAGAAATAATGACATCAAAGTGTAGAATAAAAACAACAACTAAATTGATTTAACATTATTATAGGCTTGTTTGGCGCCATACCAACTTTTATTTTTTAAAATGCATGAACTGAGATAATTTGAATGCCTCTCAGCTTAAAAGTCATGCCTCAAATCAAACTATAAGAATGAACCAACTCTAAAAATTTGAAGGAGAATTTTGCAATTCATTGTGGGTTTATCCGACTCGAGAGATTAACTGAGTCACACCACCCATTACTTTTAACCTTCCAGTTGAATTAAGAGGCAAATCACCAAACACCACACTCTTAGGAACCATATGAACATCCAAATGATCTTCACAAAACTTGATAATATCTTTAACATTAGCACTACAACCCTCCTTCAACTTCACAATTGCACAAGGTGACTCCACCAAACCCTCACAAAACCCCCCAACAACAGCCACTTTCAAAACCTTTGGATGGTTCATCAACACACCTTCAACCTCTAATGAACTCACAAACTCACCCTTACAATAAATACCATCTTTTGCTCTATCTTTCAAACTAAAAGAACCATTAGGTAACCTAACACCAAGGTCCCTAGTCCTATACCAACCATCTCTAAAAGCTTCATCACTCACTTTTGAACTCTTGAGATACCCTAACATCAAAGTATTCCCTTTGAACATAATCTCACCTATGGTTTTTCCATCCCAAGGAACACTCTTCATTGTACTAGGATCTTTCACATCAACCTCTACCATCATAAAATCTATAACATCTTCAACATAGTTAAACTTTGTAACATCATCATCAAAATTATTTTTCCACTTCCTCACAATAACCGGGCCTAATACTTCCGTCATACCATAACGAATATTCACATCGAATCCAATCTCCACCGCTTTATTAAGAATTTTGAACGACGGTAATATACCAGCAACCGTGACACTAACCTTATGCGAAAAAGGCTTAATCACATCACAATTTGCAATAATTTCCAAAAGGATAGGTGCACCACAGAAATGTGTCACCCTATGAAAACAAATTGCATCAGAAATATTTTCCGCTGAAAAATTATCTCTTACACAAATATTTGTTCCGCAAAGAACAGACATTAACCAAATGAAACACCATCCATTGCATCTAAACATGTCAACTGTCCATAGAAAAACCGGCATAATTTTCATGTCAAAACGAGTAATCGTCGCGAGTGAATTCAGATAAACACTTTTATGACTATAAACAACTCCTTTTAGAATACCTGTTGAGCCTGAAGTGAAATTCACTAATATAGGTTCACATTCATTGCTAGGCAATAAAATGTTAAAATCTGATTGACCCTTTTCAAGAACTTCATCATAGATTAATGTACCTTGTGGTAAATCTTTTACTAATAGGTCATAATCTTGGATTAGCACAATAAGAGGTGGCTTTAATGTTTTTTGGGAGATTAATTTTGTTGCATTGAGGGCAGAGTCAATAAATTCATAATCCACAAATATGATTTTGCAATGCTCTAATTGTTCCAATATTATTTTAATAATGTGTTTTATCTAATGTGTGTGTTTTGACGTAAATATTTTTATAGGCAGTATATGATGTAGTAGGATGGTTGACATAAAAAATGAAACTTAACATTTGCTTCATTGTTGGGTGAATGATTCAAACATCCAACTACCACCCAACCAACCAACAGAAGTATATGACAATCACAATGAGTAGCCGCTTCAAAATACCATATTTTTCATTAAATTCCCAATTTTGCTGCAAAGTCAATACTGAATCAAATTTGGGCGGAGAAATTTATGCAAGTTGATCTGATCATGCAAACTTTTATTCCTCTTTCATATTTAAACCCTCTCATTCATAAACCACTTACCACAAAAACAACACTTGTTAGTTATTATTGTTAACAATAGTACCAATGGGAACTTTTTCTTTAGATCTGTTTCAATCCTTTTCCTATCTGGGTTCATCTTCTTTGAATCCTAGAAAAAACTGTTGTTTTGCATCAAAGTTGAAAAATTGGAGCAAATCCATTTCTCAGATTTGTTGTTGTTCCAAATTGGAACAAGTGTTACGTCCAAAACCAAAGAAGAAAAATGGGGTTGATGAAAAGGAGCTAGTTTTGGTTGAACCTAGGGTGATTAAAAGGAAACCTTTATCCTCTTCTGGATTATGTAGTCGGATTGAGAATTTGGTTTTGAGTAATAAGCATATGGAGGCAATGGAATTGTTTGACATGTTGGAGTTTGCATATGCTGATTCTCCTGTTGGTGCTAGTACTTATGATGCTTTGATTAGTGCTTGTGTTCGTTTGAGATCCATTGGAGGTGTTAAGAGGGTGTTTAATCATATGAAAAATAGTGGGTTTGAGTTTGATTTGTATATGATGAATAAGGTTTTGCATATGCATGTGAAATGTTTTCTTATGCGCGAGGCTCGGAAGCTGTTTGAAGATATGCCTGAGAGAGATTCGGGTTCTTGGTTGATCATGATTGGGGGACTTGTGTACTCGGGGAATTATTCTGAGGCATTTAAGATGTTTTTGTGTATGTGGGAAGAGCATAGTGTTAGAAATTCTCGCACCTTTGCAACTATGCTTCACGCGTCGGCTGGATTGGGAAGTATTGAGATTGGAAAGCAAATTCATACATGTATTTTGAAAATGGGAGTGAAAGGAGATCAATATGTAGATTGTGCGCTGATTGACATGTACAGCAAGTCTGGTAGCATCAAAGATGCTCAATGTGTTTTTCACCGAATGCCGCAGAAGACGACTGTTGGATGGAATACCATTATTGCTGGCTATGCACTTCAAGGTTATAGTGAGAAAGCTCTTGGTATTTACCACAAGATGCGTGATAGTGGTGCTAAAATCGACCATTTCACTATTTCAATAGTAATAAGAATTTGTGCGAGATTGGCATCATTAGAACATGCGAAACAAGCTCATGCTGCATTAATTCGCCGTGGTTTTGGCACAGATTTGGTAGCAAACTCAGCGCTCATTGACTTCTATAGCAAATGGGGAAGGATGAAAGACGCTCAACATGTTTTTGACAAGATGCACCGCAAGAATGTCATATCTTGGAATGCATTGATTAGTGGATATGGTAATCATGGCCAGGGAGAAAAGGCAGTACAAATGTTTGAGAAAATGCTTCAAGAAAATGTGATTCCAAATCATGTCACTTTCCTTGCTGTTTTATCTGCTTGTAGCTATTCAGGATTATCAGAAAGGGGTTGGGAGATTTTTCATTCTATGAGTAGAGATCACAACGTTAAGCCTCGAGCAATGCATTATGCGTGTATGATCGAACTATTAGGTCGAGAGGGCTTATTAAACGATGCTGTTGCACTGTTCAGAAATGCTCCTTTCAAACCAACCCTAAACATGTGCGCAGCCTTGCTGACAGCATGCAGAATGAACAAGAATTGGGAGCTCGGGAAATTTGCAGCTGAAAAGCTTTATGTTATGAAACCTGAAAAGATCTGTAATTATGTTGTGCTTCTGAATATATACAACGCCTCTGGCAAATTGGAAGAAGTTGCTGGTGTTTTGCAAACCTTAAAGAGAAAAGGTTTAAGATTGCTTCAGCCATGTAGCTGGATCGAAGTTAATAAAAAACCACATGCTTTCCTTTGTGGAACCAAATCTCACAAGCAAATGAAAGAAATATACAAAAAAGTGGACAGCATGATGGTGGAGATATCCAGGCATGGTTATGTTATGGAGAAAGAAATGTTGCTACCTGATGTGGACCAAGAGGAACAACGTGCTATGAAGTATCATAGTGAAAAGCTTGCAATAGCTTTTGGCATCATCAACACTCCAGATTGGTTACCTTTGCAAATTACACAGGGCCATCGTGTGTGCGGTGACTGCCATAATGCAATCAAACTTATAACCAAGGTTACAGGACGTGAGATTGTGTTAAGAGATGCTAGTAGGTTTCACCATTTTAAAAATGGGAGTTGTTCTTGTGGGGATTATTGGTGATCACAAAATTGTTTGTTCAAGCCTTATGGACTTGTGTGAGTAGGATACAATTCTATAATATAATTTGTACTGTTTTACTTTTTTATAGTTTTTTATTCCTTTCTTTTGGGTGAGGAATAGGATGAAGGCACAAAAAAATGTATTAGTAGATTCAATAAATACAATGGAAGAAGTCTTCTATTTTTGTTGCCGGTTTATTTATCTCTTGTTTGCTTTTGTTGCTGACGAATACAGTGAAAAGTAGCTCATTTATGGAAGCCATAGCCTCGACTACGTTTTGATTGTAAGTCCTTCCTTCTCCTGATGTTCCAATCATTATTCTTGACTTAATTTGCTGAAAAGACATTGAAATGTGAAAATTCTGAAATTTGTTCTCTTTCTGGGTGTGTGTGTGTGTGGGAGGGTAGTGTCAGAGACAGATCCTACATTAATAGCATCTACAAGTTACTTAATAGGCTTGTGTTGTAAATTGTAATGATATTGAGTTTTGACATACCAGCCAGCACCTTCAATGATCACAAACAAATGTCTGAATATAGTATTCTCTATTGTGAAAGGAGAAACTCTTGGAGGAGAGATTCTCTCTTATTCTTCAAATATCTT